AACCTAATATAGTAAGGACAAGGGACAGAAGAGGTCAGGTTACAAAGTCTGGAGAAGATGTATAGTAATTACTGATCTACATAAAGAGTAGCTATACTATGACATGCTTCTTTGTCCTTTAGAATAAATGAATTCTATAAAGATTACCAGCACTGTTAGCAACAGTATGGATTAATGAAGGCCTTTAAGACTAACTACTATACCAGAAAACACAGGAAACTAACACCTTGAGTAATAAGGACTCTGCAAGTTGCAGTAAGCAGTGCATGGTCACGTCGTAATCTATAATATTCCACTGTTTTCCTTAAATTAACTATGGATGAAGAACCCAGGGGAAACAAGAAAGGTTTTAGCAAGAATATTAGCCAAGAGATTTATCTTTAAAGATACATAGAGGGAAAACCAGCAAACAATCGCAGCATAGTAAGTCCTTTCTGATAACCAGCAAACTGTATTTAAGAAAGTATGATACAAAACCAAGCAAGTTTTATAAATTTCAGATATTTTTACTCTGTCAGATGTTATTTTATTTAATTATTTGATGACCATTTTTCTTTTTTCTTGTGGCGCTAGGGATCATACCCAGAGCCTTGCTCACACAAAGCAGCGCTCAACAACTGAGCCATACTCGGCAGCCCTGATGACCACGCCTTATTTTTTAATTTTTTCAGTCCTTTATTTATTTACTTATTTGGCACAGGGTCTCACTATGCTGCCCAGACTTGCCTCCGAGAGCTCAGCCTCTCCAGCGCTGGGATTACAGGAGTGTGCCACCACGCCCAGGGGATCAAACCTGTGTTGATCGAACCTTGCACGTGCCAGGCAGGTGCTTAGACCACTAAGCTATCTCCACAGCCCCCCGATGACCACTTTTTAAAAATTAAAAATCTGCACTGTTAAATTCACAAAATATTGTTCTGCAGCAGTGTTTCTTGAAGCAAGTTTTACAAGGATAACACCTGCAAAGATAATAAAGTCCAGTCTTCAAGTTGTTTTCAACATTTTTAATTTCTGTGTGCATGGTGCTGGGATCAAACCCAAGCGCTACATATGTCCAGCGCGTGCTATACCACTGCTACCGCTGAGCTACACCTCAGCCCTTCACATTTTCTTTTTAAATCTCTTTAAGACAAGATTTCACACCGCAGTTTAGGCTGGCCTTGAACTCACTTTGTAGTCCAGACTGGCCTCAGATGTGCAGCAATTTTCCTGCCTCAGTCTCCCAAGTGCTGGGATTACAGGCATGTACCACCACACATGGCTTCCAATTCCTTAATGAAATCGCTAAGATCATATTTACCCACCAGAAGTTTTTTGTAAGCAAAAAACTCCTAAATTAGAGGGGGAAAAAATGTCCAGTGTTTTTTTCCCCTTACTATAAAACTTGACTACTGGTACCCTCAAACTAAAAAAAAAACCCAACAACAAAAACCAAAAACTCATTAGTCATTAAACATCATAATGGGGCCAGGGAGATGGCTCAGTAGGATAAGCGCTTGACTGGCAAACGCAAGGATCTGAGTTCAATCCCCGGTTCTGCCCCAAAAAACAAAACAAACAAACAAAACCCCCAAAAATCCCCAAAACATCATACTGCCCTGTTTTGTACTACTTATACTTCTCACTGAATTTGATGTGTAAACAATGTACTTTGACTTTATCTTGATAACATTTAGTTTTTTAGGTGCATAATGCATTATTTTATATTTAAATAACCCATAGATTTGTGACATGTTTTTTGTTTACAGAATTGTCTTTGGCTCTTTTACTAGAATGAATTAAATGTGCAAGGATACCACCAGGCACTCTGCCACTTGAAGTTTGAGAACAAGTATTCTAAATGACTTCTATATTTATGAAAACATTTAAGTCTGTATTTTTATTCATCTTACTAGTGCATAAATTACAGAATCAACTTTTAGACACCTTAGC